CTCGCTGGGACGAGATAAAAGAGCTCTTACTTCCCGGTCAAAGATCATATGATCAACATGATATAATTGCAAGAGTGTTTCGGTTAAAAGTCAAAAAGACCATGAACTTATTGACAAAAGGTAAAATATTCGGAGAAGTGAGATGCTATATGTACTCAACAGAATACCAAACTGTAGAGAGGTTCAGGTAGTTGTAAGCTATAACTTATCGAATAGGTTATGATAATAACTAAATTAATATATATAAAATATTATTTCAAAAATCTTAATTAATTTAAATTTCAATAGATTTAACAAAATTTAATCTTGGCAGGTTACATACATTTATATACTTAAACCCGGCAACGACGGGTAGTTCAGCTAGTTTTTAATAAGTATCAATTGCATTCAGAATTAAAATGCATTTTATTAAAATATGAAGCAATTAATTATTTTTCGGATTAATTTTTAACTTATGTTGAAAAAAATTAAAATAAAATAAATAATTCTAGCTTATACAATAGCTATATAGCAATAATCTAGCGTATACAATTTCAAGACTAAATAATTAAGTTTTAAATTAGATAAATAATATAAAAACAAGTTTTCTAAATTTATTAGAAATATATCATGTTTATAATTCATGAAATAGAAAATAGTTACATCCATAAATGTCAACAGTTTTCCGTAATAATCAATGGTGTTTCAAATTTATATAAGTTACGTTACATAAGCTATTTACATTTTTTTAACTTGGGGTAATTATTGCATAGGTATATATATAAATAATATATATGATATATATTATATAGAAATACATTAATTATGAATACATTTTTTCTTTTCTTATTAATATTATTACTAAGAATTCAAGTATAAATAACAAACGATAAAATAAAAATCGATAATTGCATAAGTACGTCTGTAATATACTTGTCAGTTATTGTCTATTTATTTTATGTCTTTTTATATATAAATAATATATATAATATATTATTATTAATAGGGCTCGGATTTTGAAGTATAATAAATAACAAAAAAAGCACAAAATTATCTTAAAAAGCAAAAATTAAGAAAATTTATTTTAAAAAAAAAAACATGACCAAAAATTAACATGAATTACCTATAAAAATTAATAAAAAAAATTAATTAAATTAGACAAATTATTAACGTCCATGTATTTTGTAAGATTTGCAGTAGTGAAACTGTCCATATTATCTGACAGAATTTTTTTATACATAGAAAACGAATGCTTTACATCCACAGAAGTTATCGTTACACATTTCATGCAATAGGTTTCAATTAAATCTAACCTATGATAATTAATTTCGTTTGATTAAACGCCATCAGTATAATGTCCAGTAATTGTTTCCAGCCTTTGTTTTTTAAAAGAATACGATTTAATCTCCCCGAAATTGCAAGTGCAATATCTCAATTAGCTTCATCTAACTACTTTTCTGCATCTAAGACAATATTTTTACATTTTGTAAATGATCTAACCGTCTGTATATCGATAATTTATACGTTTGATAAATTTAACAACTAATTCTAAAACAATAATAATCAAATACAACCATTTAGTCCGTATTCTAGGTTTTCAAATTTGTTATTAATTAAATAAATTCTTTTATTACTATAGTATTATAAACATATAAAAAATCCAAAGTTGGAATATCTGAAAAAGAAATAAAAAAGTAAAAAAAGCATTTATACAAAAAAAAGAATGAAAAAGCAAAAATAAATTGGTTTATTTGGAAACAGAAAGATGTAAAAAGAATTTATATTTAAAAGTTAGAGTTCTCTGATATACTCGTATAAAAAAAGAAGCATTTACTTTAAAATCCGAGCCCTAAATATTAATATCGGTAAATATTTTCTGATTCATTTCTGAGTCCAAATAATTAATTTAATAATAATTTTGTTTGTATAAAATAGCATTAGGAAGCTAAATAATATCAGTTGTATCTTATACCATAAAAATTAAAATATATACTTTCCATATTTTGCTTTATGTGGATAGTTGCGAATATAATTACAGCAGAAATATCTTATTATTAAGATTCTCTAGTGGAAAAAAACGTTAAACTTTCTAATAAAATATTTACAGATATCGAAATTTGACAACAATTAAATGGAAGACTTATGTTTCTGTTTCGTGTTACTATTTCTATGTCTTTGAAGAATATAAAATAATAATTACGGTATTCCCAAGACTCATTGGTAAACATATAATTACAAATATTTACTGACGGATTATTGTTTGTTGCAAACATTAATATTTATGTTTGTTTTCCTCGGAAAAAAAAATATAACAAGAGAAATTCATCGTAATTAAAATATGATTAAAGATACCTAAACATTTATCATCACAGCAATACCACGTATTTAAAACAATATAAATGTTAACTGGTGTGTAATTAAACTATATGGCTTATCTATTGATCGATAAATTCTGATGGCTAACATCTAATGTTAGCTGAATTCATATCGAAGGTTAAATATCAAATATTTGTTTATGAATGCACAACATTGGATGAATATGAAAAAATTTAAATTTATATAATTTTCTTTTTATTTCGGGAAGGGTTGCAGTCTTCTCAGCACCACCCTTGGCTACGCCACTGATACATTGTTATATAATAAATTAATTTTAAAGTATTTATTTAATTTCATGGACGCAAGGGCATGATTACATAAAATGTGGGATAATTTAATTAAGATTAATAGTACATTTGAACTTAAATACTTAAGAGTAAGTTACATATATAGATATTAATTATATAGATATTATAAATACATAATGAATATGATGGTCATATAAACTTAAAACTTATTAACATTTATAACATAGAAAACATAACTAAAATATGTATAAACATGAAATGTGATTCCATACACGATGAACTATAATCAACGCTCAATAATATTATTTTTATTATTTTCATAATATTATTTATTATACTATAGTAATAAAAAAAATATATATATTTAATTAATAACACATTTGAAAACCTGGAATACGGACTAAATGGTTATATTTGATTATTATTAGTTGTTAAATTTATCAAACGTATAGATTATCGATATACAGTCGATTAGATCATTTACAAAATGTAAAAATATTGTCTTAGATGCAGAAAAGTAGTTAGATGAAGCTAATGAAGATATTGCACCTGCAATTTCGGGTAGATTAAATCACATTCTTTTGAAAAAAAAAAGTTTGAAACAATTACTGGACATTATACTGATGGCGTTTAATCAAACGAAATTAATTATCATAGGTTAGATTTAAATGAAACCTCTTGCATGAAGTGTTTACCGATAACTTTTTGTGGATATAAAGCATTCGTTTTTTATGTATAAAAAAATTGTCATATAATATAGACAGTTTCACTGCTACAAATCTTACAAAATACATGGAAGTTAATAATTTTTTTGATTTAATTAATTTTTTTTATTCAGTTTTATAGTTAATTCGTGTTAATTTTTTGTCATGTTTTTTTTTTTGCTTTTTTTAAAAATAAATATTCTTAATTTTCGCTTTTTAAGATAATTTTGTGCTTTTTTTTGTTATTTATTATACTTCAAAATCCGAGCCCTATTAATAATAATATATTAAATATAGTATTTATATATATATTATGTAGAAATACATTAATTATGAATACATGTTTTTCTTTTCTTATAATTATTATTACTAAGAATTGAAGTATAAATAACAAATGATCAAATAAAAATGGATAATTACATAAGTACATCTGGTTCTTAACCAGATTTTCAGAACATTTTATTTCTAGAAAATCAGGTTATAGGAGTTGATTATAAAAAAGGGACGGATAATTATTTTTTAGATAAATTGAGTATTCTTAATCATATGAAATAAATATATAATTGATTTCAAAATACGGTTCAGAATGTAGAAAAAGAGGTTGATCAGTTGTTTAAAAATAATTTAGATCATTGCATAGATTTAAGTAAATAATAATTTTATTATCAGTTAGGATAAACTAACTTTAAAAAAAAAAGAAAAAAATCATGTAATTTTATTAAATTAATTATATAATAACCGTTAAAATTATATAAGTATCCGGTCGATGAATCAAGTCCACATGGTTAATATTTGTTTACAATGAAATTAATTGGACTAAAAAATTAATTGAATTTCATTAAGATTTTATTTTCTATTTCTTGTAATAATATTTTACAACATTTTATAAAAATATTAATTTTTTTTTTTATCGATCATAGTCGCTAATTAAAAATCTTGTATTCAATTTTCAAGTATTTAAATTTTTAACTTAAATATTTTTGCAGATTTTTATCAAATATTTCAAAGTTTTCAATATTTTCTACTAATGTAAGAAAATCATGTGAGGTAAATCGTATTACATTTTAAATAATTTTTTTATTGATAATTTACAACATTTAGAAAACATGAGAATTTTAAATATCTTTAACTGACAAAAAACAAAAAATTAATTTCCAAAATTAATATCATCTCTAGAAAACATTGATTTAAGCTTTCATACAGAGAAAGTCCCTACAATTCTTTTTTGTTGATTTACTACGAAAAAAAATTTGATTACATTAAAATCTCATAAATGTTGCTGTTGCCTGTAATAATTCGTCAGTTTTTCTCGATTTGAAAAATTGAATTCAGAACTGACCTCTCGAATGCAACACCAACCAGATATTATTATTCTCACGAGATCCATCTTTTTAATGATCGGACCAATCCTCGAGAACAACATATACACAAATTTAAATATATATATATATATATATAAAGTATATTAAAAACACTTAATATCGTAAACGGCTTTACCGAGAATATCGAATGAACGCATTTGTTTTACATAACGACGGGAATGAAACACTGATCCGTTCCTCGATTCATGGACTTGAAATTAGGATGATATACATAATAATGTAATTATATTGCTCTGTTGATTTTAGTTATATAGTTTTGCTTAGCCGCTTGAACAAGCAACGGAAAATTAAAACTCTAACGTTCACCATACCTCATAGACTCCATGATGTATAACTATCCGCTCGGTTGGACCACGTGACGAAATAAAAATTCGAACAACGAAGACGTATTGAGAACTTCTACACTATTGCGACGGTCGAGCGTCACTGCGGGCGTAATGTGCAACGTGTCGAAGAAGCCATGTGACGACGGCGCGCGAGAGCGCCGCCTACATATAAACACGCCCCCCCCAGTGGCGTCGAGCTTCGAAAATTTTACTCAGGCCAAATAAAAATACAACGGCCTCTCAAGCACCTCAGCGGCCACAAATCTACATTTTTACTTTGCAAATAAAAATAATTTGTGCTCTCACATTACAAGTATTAGGCATGATTCATACTAGTTAGACATGTATCGACAAACACCGTTCCGAAAAATATTTTATTATGTATTTTAATTTAGGTAATTCACATTTGAAAATTTCCGTTCCTTTCATACAAGTACCGAGCTGACAGAGTCCGTCCGGCATTCCTCGCGAAAAAAATCGCGAGGTCAGAATATTGCAAAGTGCAAACCATAAATCACTCTGATTCCCGGCCTCATTTTAAAAATGTGGTCAGGCTACGGCCACGGCCACGGTTCGGCACCACTTAACACGCCCCGCCGAATATCCACTTATTCCAAGACGATCAGATGGATTTAATTTAAGACGATTATTCAGAACATTTTTAATTTTTAGTCCAAATGTCGCCCCGGACACCGTATGTAGTCGACGAAACACTTAACGTAATATTTTTAGTATTCTACATTTGGTTTTAGTTAAATTTTATTTTTAACATTTTAAAATAATATTATGATAAAACGTTCGGATTTCCGATAGACCGAAATGATTTCACGGATTGAAATAGCAATATTAAGATCGACCAAAGTGGTGCGAACATATTCGAGGAAAGAATAATTTTGAAAAAAACAGTGTTATTATTAATGTATAAATCGGTTTAAAATTCTATTGATTACTGTCAAACGTATAATTGATAGTCAATCAAATTAATTAACACATATAGAAAATGTACTCATCTTTCAAACTCAGTATCACGAGTAAAAATTATAAGAATGTCGCTATTCACTTATACGTTTACTCAATTTGGTATATAAATGATTTACACAAACAGTTATATGAAAACGAATTTAAATCTAATAGCATAACGGTTGTTGCGTCAATATTGCATGAATATAATAAAACCGTGTAAAATTCTCGTTCGGTTATTTATTTTTAATTGGTTTAGAATTATTCTTCAGATTAAACGATTTTTTTCGTGTTTTGATTTAAATTATTAACCCGTCTAATAAAAGACACCTGTCCTATTCGTCACTCAACTTTTGTCGCATCTCACCACTCAGATACATGGAATTTCAAATGCAAGACGCATGTATATCACAAGCGATAACTTTTTTTTTTGATTCTCTTAAGTTTTACTCAACATATACATCCATAATAGTTTCACCGCTGTCTACAGTAGTGTTCAGTTATATACGAGTACATGTATTTATGGCTGACCCGGGTTGGTACGCTTATTATACGTATACATTTACTTGATTAATAGTTATACAATAACACCGTAATTCTATAAGGAGTAAATAATTTATGTACATAATAGAGGCTCTTTACTGTCCATCGACTTATTGTAGACATAATCGTGAAAAAAAAATTATGTTACAAAATACACGAATAGCGTTACAATAAAATGTAAGTATTTACATGTTAATAATGAATACTATAAATACTGTTAGAGTACCATAATGCTCAGAATATTCCCACGTAGCAACCACACTACCTGTGTAAACATGGTATGCAGCATGCCTAAAAAAAAATTAGAAACCCAATACATTGTTTAGGATTAAATATTCACACGAATGGTAATATTTCAAAGGTTTAATATTTTTCAGTAGTGTACCTGTTATCATTTGAATATCATTTTTTTATTCTTTACTGATATTTCAATTTATAAGTTACATTATACATTACAAAGATACAGTTATTTTCCAACAATCGTTCGAATCGGTCGTTAGTTAATCTAATCTGTTTCGTTATCAATATTCTTAAACATGAACTGTTTCAAGTGAGCTATCCGATCGCGACAAAATTATAAAATGTGTAAAACAAATTGTGTTAAACATTACCATACCGCTTACTCATCTCTTGCTAATGCAAATGACGAGATTTTTAAAAAGAAATCTGAATCGTGGTTATGTTATATAGGTGAAACTGTTAAATTAGGTTTTAAAAAAACTCAGGAATCCTAATTCATGGATTCAGATCTTAAATCTAAAATTAACAATATAAATATGGCAGTCAAAGAAATTAAAAAATCAGTTTCCAAACATGATTTATCATTTTCGTAGCTTAACAATTACGTGACTTGGGGTCCCATACTACCTCCTTAGAAAACAGAATTGATCAATTTGAAAGTTGTTTGGCAAATGTTGAGTCTTTAAACCATACTTCGGAGGAATTTTTGATTTCGGAAAAACTTGATAGACAATCTAGAGCACGTAATTTGATTATTTTTAACTTGCCGGAATCTAATGACAGTCACTCGTCGGATGAAGATAAGTCATTGGTTAAATCCGTCTTGAATACATTATCACCAAATTAGGACACGGCAACAGTCACTAGATTAGGACGTAAGTCTGATAAGCCACGCTCTGTTAAAATCACGTTACTTAAAGTAACTGATATTTTTACTGTGCTTAAAAATAAGTACAAACTACGTACGTCTAACTTCAACTCTTTCCGCGAACTCCAGATCACACTGTAATACAGTGCAATCAACTTCGTGATGTTCCATCTAAACTTGAATAACGTAAAGCAGCTGATGAATCTAATCTAATAATGAAATTCGTCAAATGTATTCTTACCATTTCAAAAAACTAGCAAACGGCTAGACCACTGAAGACATAAAATTTTTTTTTCAAAATGTTCGAGGGCTCAACATTAAATTGTATATATATTAATGCGTAACGTATGCTTATCTAACTATGACTTTATTGGTTTATGTGAAACATGGTTATCTTCAAATGTCGACTCTTCTGAATTAAGCCGGGTTCGCACTACACCGTGCTGTGTCGTGTCTTCTAAAATAATTATCTCTGATTGGCTGAACCATATTTTTATATCAAGGTATATCGTATAACAAATCACAAGTTACCTCACTAACCATAAGATACCGTGAAGTTCATTTTATCCAACTTTTGAGCGTGTGGTTACTGATTTTAATAGTAATAATTTAATATTCAATGACAACAGTATTCATAATAACAAAAGGCTCGAAAGGTGTTGCATTTGCATGATTTTATTAGGCTATTCAATTTATTTCTAAGTAACCTTGAAATTATTTTCATAACACTATGAAAAACCTAATGGGAACATTTTGAAAGAAAATTTTAAATTTCAAACTATTTATTTTATTTTATTTTATCTTATATATTTATACCTAGAAATTATGTTTAGCTTAGTATAATATACTAACAACATTTGTACTGTTATGTACAAGTATATTTAATAAAATATCTTTATTTATGAATATTTTTATGTTAAAAAAAAAATTAAGTGCATATTTTTAAGCATATTTGCGTACTTTTTTAAGCGCATAAGTGCATATATATTTAGTACTTTTTAAGTGCATTGAGTCCTAATAATAATATAATACATAGTGTCTACTATATAATTTAATATTTATCAGTTATTATTTATTGAAACTTATGAAAATATTTTAAATCTAATAAAAAAACTGCGAAAATACATAACCAAAATTTGATAGCATCACCATAAGATATATATAGGTATCACACATTTTCAAAGCACACAGTCTGGTAAAATACACGTCACGGTGTAGTGCGAACCCGGCTTTAAACCTTCTTAATTATGTTACCTATCACTGTGACCGTAATTCAAGCATTAGTTCTCGAACTAAAGGTGGTGGTGCTCTGTTATCTGTTAATAATAAATACTTATTTCACGTATTACCTGTACCTACCAGTCCAGTTGAACATATTGTTGAACTATTGTTGAACTGTTGTTAGTTGAACTATTGTCGTGATAACTAAAATTGATCTTAATTATATTATAATAGGCAATATGTACTTTACACCTCACACAGACATTTCAATTTATAATATACATTTTGACATCATTAATAATTTATTAACAAGTTTTCCATACGTTAAGAACATACTTATGGTTGGTGATTATAATTTTCCTAAATTGCATTGGCTTCCTAGTGTAAACGACTTCTTTCCTCATAAAATTATTCTAAGTTCTACTTAGTCTGAATTTCTATCTAAATTGTCTTTTTTTAAATCTTTTTCGATTTAATAATGTTATTAATAGTTCTGGATCGATTTTAGATTTGGATCTATCAGACCTTAATAATGTGTTTGTTTCCAAATCCCGTCAACTCTCTTGTTTCCTGTGATACCTATCACCCGAGTCTGTTTAAATCTATTCAAATAATTGTAAATAAACCCATTGAATATAATTTATATATGTATAATTTCTTTAAATGTAATTAATTTAATGTAATTTTTCACAAAAAAAAAAAAAAAAAAAAAAATTACGAGGATATAAACTAAGTTTATTAAACTTCCCTTAAGCGTCATTAAACTGGATTGACTTATTTAAGGATTTAAATATAAATCGAGCTGTTGAATTGTTTTATTCTATTATTTATGAAATAATCGATATTTTTGTACCCAAAATAATCAAATGTCTTTCCAAATATCCCTTATGGTTTAATAAGAATTTAAAAGATCTAATCTTTAAAAATAAATATCGCGCATAAACAGTACAAAAGTTCAGCTTGGGTGAGTGATTTTAATATTTTTTCAAATTTACGAGTTAAATGTAAATTTTTTTCTAAACTTGATTACAAAAATTACATAAACAAAATTCAAAATAATTTGAGAACATCCTAAGCAGTTATGGAAATATATAAATAACAAACGACACAACAACATTTATTTAATCTGTCTCTCTCCTCTAGTACTTTTCCAGACTTATGGAAATCCAGTTTCATTCGCCCTATTCCTAAGCCTTCTTCTGACGTCTAATATTTCTAATTACCACCCAATATCACTACTTTCTCTCATTCCTAAAATG